TGTGTCCCCCTTGAGGCTTTTATTTCGTTTAAAATAAGTGCTATGCCTTATTCCCTATTTGTGATTATTTTTCTTTGATTTACCCACATCATTATAACCCCTAACCCTTGGCCAAAAATATTATCCTTCCACCCAAGAGAGAATATAACTTTTGTCTTTAAAAATCTTATAGAAGAGATTTTTTCGAAGTTTACCTTAAGAGCAACTTATTTCAAAAAGATGGAAGTTTGGGGCTATTATTTGTTTTATAAACCCGTTCATTTCTTATTCAGATTGCAGTATTGACTCTAAGCTTCGCAAAAAAAAAAAAAAAGGAGAAAAATCCAAAAAACAAAACAAAACAAAACAAAACAAAAAGGTTGTATCTTTCTATATTCCAAATAAACTCAAATCAAATTGTGATTGAGGAAATTCTTTACATAAACCCCCTTATCCTTCAGAGCTTTTATAGTCTTGATGAGTTGTTTTTTTTTTTTTTTTTTTTTTTGCTCCCTTATTCGTCATTGGTTTATCTCTTCTAAAGATTCAAAACTATAGATAATTGTGTCATTCTCTCTCTTTGTTATTATTCCATACCCTTTTTTTTGTTATAAACCGTAACCCTTAGCCCCATTACAAGCTTAATAAAGACCTACTTGATCTTTGCATGAAATTTTAGTTCTATATAGGAGGAGTAGGAAGGGCAAGCCTAAGATGTTTTTCTAGTGTTGTGTTCTGCATAAACCTAACTGAGTACATGTGCACACTAGATTTCTCATTACTAATAATCTGCGTGTTTGTATATTGGCTTGGGAATGGACCGCGTGTGCCAAGCAGGGATGATTCTGGAACCATGTGTATTGCAATGAGTTGGTTTGTGGTATGCTAAGTTGTGCACGAGAAAGCGGGAGTGATTTTTTGTGTTTTGACCTGTGATTTTGCTTTGTTGTTTTGCTTGAGGACAAGCAAAGTCTTAAGTGTGAGGGGGTGATGTTATCAAATCTGTGCATGTTTTTATAGCTATTTTGATTTATCTCAGTAACAAAGTTATTGAATCGTGCCTATTTAATACTTGTTTTCCTTACTTTCTCGTTAGAATATGATTCTACACTTGTTTTGAATGTTTTACGGTGTTTGTTAGTGTTTTTGAACCATTGTACGTCAAAGTTATGAGCAAGGGAAGTCCTAGGATAAAATTGGAGTCAAAGTGGACCAAAAGACGCTTACACAAAACATTCGACGCGTCGAGCAAAAAATTTCCAGAAGACAAAACGGTCTCGACGCGTCGAGCTAGACACAGCACACTACTTAAGAATGACGCTTGTTTCCAAAAGAAGAAAAGAAAAAGGCTGCATTAATTCTCTAATTCCAAACAGCAGCAATTGCATTCCAATTTCAAATCAAAAGCAAAGTGGTGGCAAATTCCTTATTTAATTTAGGAAAAGAGTAAAAGACATTTTTGGTCCTAGACTTATAGTGGCTTGGATAATTTTAGTCCTTTATAAAAAAAATTTCCATTTTATGGACAGAGTTATTGTGGCGAGGACATTTTTGGTCCTCCGTCTATATTTTTGTTAGATAACCGTCTGAGAGAGGGGTAATTACGTCAATTTAGGCTATCTCCTTCTATCTATTATATATATGTGTGTTTTGTTTTCTTCTCGGTCATAATTCGAAGGAGTCGGAGAGTCCAAGTTGCAGTAAAGGCATGGTTGTGGGCAGAGCATTTCGTAGTGCAAAACTACAAATAAATGAGGGTCAGAGTAAAGGCATGGTTGTGGGACCAAAATCGTCCATCTCACAATAAAGAGATAGCCTAAATTACTTAATTGTCCCTCTCTCATATGATTATCTAATAGAAATATAGACAGAGGACCAAAAATGTCCTTGCCACAATAACTCTGTCTATAAAATGGCAATTTTTTTTTATAAAGGACTAAAATTGTCCAAGCCACTATAAGTCTAGGACCACAAATGTCTTTTACTCTTAGGAAAATTCCTAATTTCTCAAGGGTTGATCCCAATTTTGTATCAACTATAAAAAGATCATCTTCCATCAACCCTAGAGTTCTTCTTCTCTTCCCAGATTTTGGTGTTTAGAAGGCAATCAAGAGCAAAGCAAAAAGAGGACCAATTTGAAAATTTACAACTAGCTTTGGAATAGAGAACTGGCTAGAAAGATTCGGGAGAACTCTTTCACTATTTCTCTTATTTCCTTTGTTATTTGTTTATCTTTAAACATTGTATTGATTCTTATTATGGTCATTAGTGGCTAAAACCCTTAGGAATTTTTGGGTGAATTTGTTTATGAACCTATGTGCCTAGTTCGTTAATTTCTTAATATATTTATGTTTGGTTTTATAATTTGCGTTGCAATCTTGTTTTAATCTATTGTTGTTGGTAATTAAAGGCCTAAATTACTAGCTTCATAGCCATGTTTGTGTCACCAATGGGAATCGGGGCATAAATTAGTATACACACGATTACACCTAATGGTTGGACATTGGGAAATGAGAACTTATTAGGGGAAGTTTATTCTATATTGTTGCTCATCGGGAGATGGTAGTAATTAGGAATAATTGAATGTTGATCTTCGATCTTATCGGGTGTTTAAGCCACGAGAGTGGAAATTCACTAGGAGTAGAAATTACAGGAGTAATTTTGTTCCACTTTTGCATTCCCATACAAATCTTGATTCCAAACTAAATGTTACTAACGTTAATTGGCACTAGGTGATTAAACATTGTGATCCCAAGAATCCTGTTTTGCTCTATTGTTTACGAAACCTTGTTATTTATTTTATTCTGTTTGTTATTTTCTGCAATTATCCAACCTTAAAATTTCGTTTAGACTAGTTTAATATGAGTAACCTAGTAGCTAGTGATTAGTACCCCATCTCCCTGTGGTTCGACAACCCGAATACTCCGGGTATTATTTGTTTGCCCCAAATTACCGCAATCAGCGTCCTTTGGTCTACTTTGATTCCAAATTTGTTCCAGAACTTCCCTTGTCTTTGCTCTTAACCTACAATGGTTCCAAAACACTAATAACACCATAAAACATTCAAAACAAGTGTGAACCATATCTAAATGATAAAACAAGGGAATATACAATTAAAGAACCAAATTCATGAACCTAAACCCAATAAATGTAATCAAACTAATACTAGTAATATGCACAGTTAGGCTCACATAAATTATAGCGAATACTAAAACATTATTTTAATTCAACTACAGTTATATTTCATAATATCCATCCAATGTATGACAATTGGTTCATTATAGCAACACTCAATATCATTTAAGTTTTTAGTGATTCACATACAGTGTTATTAAGGTATTACAACCACATGACAAAACATTGTCTATGTTTTTTGAATTCATATTAGCAAGGAATGAAACATTCTCTATAGAATAACAATATTATCACCTCAATGAAGCTTTAGGCTTGCAACAATAGTGTCGAAAAGAGAAGAAAACAACTGCTCTGTTGATTAGAGACGTAACAATGGCGTGCTAAAGAGGTAACTAAACCAAACGTTTGCTTTTCGTTTATATATATATATATATATATATATATATATATTATATATATATGATGCACTGCACGCTGCTATTACTTGATTGGTTTATCGTATGGCGTCATTTTGGACCATATATGATCCACACAACTGTGTGAATCATGATCCACTGTATAACGTATTGATTTCTAAAGTGACCTGGCCAATCCCAGCCAGTTTAGCCCATTATGCATTTATGGCTAACCAGTAGATCGGGATTGACAAGCTGCAAATGGAAGTTCATAATTTCCGCAACACACCACAAACATTGTAAGAGACATAATAAGAATTCCGATGAAACTTCAGAATACAACATTATCATACATTTCAATGAACAATTGTTTTGATACAAAACAGTTCAACCAACCAACCAACATTATGGAAGGTAAACTCCAGCATACAGCAACTCAATGATACATCATTGTAAGGGCATCCTCAATAGTTGAGGATTTTACCTCACATTTTTGTGGGTCCCAACATCCACCTCATCATCCACTATCTTACTCATTCACAAAATTTCTTCTTCCCATTAGTTTTAAGTTTTTTCACAACTTTTTATGGACCCACTATTTTATCTCTAAAATTTAATTAATTATTTATTTTAGTTAATTGAATCCTATGCCAGCCACGTGGAGCTGAAACCATCAATCTTCTCCCACTTTATGGAGTCACATCAAACTATGCAATTGGAAGGACACTTTAGCTGACAAAATTTTTCATTCTGCAGGAAGAAGAATTCATCAAAATCTCCCCTTTCCATTTGTGAAAAACTTGACAAAGAAAATTATACTATTCCAAAATCTCCCCAAAATCCCCTTTTTGGGATGCCCTAATAACAGTCAAACAAACCCAATGCACCATTGTTTGGATAGAGTAAGTTCAAAACTAACATCTCAACGAAATACCAAATCATATTTAACACCAACACTTATGAAAAATTCCAACAAATCAAATACAATAACCAACCACATTATTGAAGATGAACTCCAACATCAACACCGTTGTAATAACAAAAAAGTGCAAATGAGAACACCACAACTTCAAGAAGCCAGGTTGCATTTCTGGGAATGAAGCCAATGCATCATTGTAACCTGTATATGATTCCCTTCAAGAAATACAAACAGAAAAGTTAAAATTCATTGTAAATACCCAAAAATAAAATGTCTAAATTAGATGGTAGCTAGGTTTTGATGATCCATTGGTAATTTGGTATGCATACCTTTTTACCAGATTTTCTCAAACACAAAATTATCAAATTGCATACTCATTCCTTTTTTTCCGACCTTTCATTGGTTGGCAGCTCAATCTAATAAAAACATAAAATTAAAAAGCAGAACAATTAAGAAAAAATGGGAGAGGAAGGAGGGATTTCAAAAAAAAAAAAAAAAAGATTAATAGAACCAAAAGACTCCTAAACTAGTTATCAAAATTCATAATTCATAAATGGGAATTAGAGAGATACCTTAGTTACATCACGAACAACAAGTCCTTCATATCCCAAGTCTCGTTGCGCTTGTTGGATCTCCTTTGCTGAAGTCACAAGAGAAAAACAACAATTGTCTAACTCAATTAATCGCAAAGTACAAACCTCCTCAAAATCACTTGGAAGTTTTTCCATGTCCCAACAATATCTTAGAATTAGATGCTCCAAAGCTGGGAAATGGTTTGCATTTGCATTCCAATGTTTGAGATCAGAGCGCTCAATAAGGAAGAACCTTAGTTGTAGAAACTCCCCATCCCTTGGTGTCCATTCTGGGCCACAACAAGCAAAGTCTTTCAATTTGAGTAAATCAAGGCTGGGTAAATTGCCAATAATGTCCATATCTTCCCATGAAAGATACGTATTACAAAGGGTCAATTGCTTGAGCTTTGATGGAAAACAATTTGGGAGATTAAACCGCTCTACCCTTCCCGTTTTAACCTTTAGCTTCTCAAGTTGATGTAACCGAGCAAGACTATCAAGAGCATTAGGCAATAGTTCACCTTCAATGTAGATCCCCAACTCTTTCAGATTTGGAACTTTTGTAAAGTTTGATGTTCTTGTGTCCCGGCCGGTAACTTTGAACCATGAAAGAGTTTGTAAGTTTTCTTGAACCAAGTTTGGGAGATAAGATGAAGATCCCTTGTCAAAGCGCACATGCCTTAACCATGGCAAATCCAAAACATCACATGGCAGTTGCAATTGATACTCTTTTGTCCACGCAGAGAGAATGAGAGTTTGCAAATTTTGGAGCTTAAACAATTGAGAGTTGCAAACAGAACCTATAGTTCTTAAAGCAAAATATCTTAAATGAACCAAATTCACAATCTCGCTAGGCATGCCATGCCAATATTTTACTGATGATAAGTCCAATATTCTTAACAACTTCAATGAAGAGAATATCGACCAACACTTTGCAAGATATAAATTTTTCGCAAAGTAGAAAAAGGAACGGGTCTCAGGTGAAGGGTCAGTAAAATAACTTGTAGGACTTACCCAACGAGGCCTTTTAATATCCTCCTTAATTGCTTTTCTGAAGCAAAACTCATGTAACATATCATGAAGCATACATGATTTGATTTTTCTACCCAAACTCCTCTTGTGAATTTGAACTAGCCTTCTATTGATAAGATCACACAAATAATCTTTAGCTATCTCTTCTAAACTCTTGTTCATCTCCGGTTTTACGAATCCTCCAGCCACCCATAACTCTATCAACTTTTTCACATGAATTTCGATTTTCTTACGAAAAACTCCAAAATAAAGAAAACAAGCTTTCAGGTGAGTAGGCAAATAGTCGTAGCAAACTTCAAATGTGTAATGCAAGAGCTTTAAAGGAAAGTTGCATGATGAAATGGTGAACAGAATATCCTCCCACTGCCTTGGTGAGTTGTTGAGTGTGGACAGAAGTCCACCAATCAAAACAATTACTAGTGGCATTCCCATACATTTCTCAGCAATGCTTCTCCCTATTATCTCAAATTCAGGGGGTAGACTACTACATTTTCCATTTGACGTTGCATTTTTGCTTAATAATTTCCAGCTTTCTTCTGGATTCAGACCATCTGTGTAGAAAATCCACATATCTGAGCTGCTAGCAAATTCAGCCACTTTCATTTTTCGAGTAGTAATCAGAACTCGGCTTCCATTTCTATCATCTGGAAAAGATGTACTCATGAAACCACTCCATATCTCCCATGACATATAATTGTCATTCCATGCGGTTATGGAGAAAAGGTCATCAATGACAATCAAATACCTTTGGCCCATCAGAAGTTTGCGGAGTTGCTCGACTAGCTGCTTATCATTTTGTTTGGAGATTTCTTCCTTGGTCAATGACACAATACAACTTAGAATATCAATGTGCATATCTCTCAGACTGTTTACTTGACCTTCAACCGTCCATGCTTGAATGTCAAAGTGAGACACAATAGATGGATCTTCGTAAACTTTTTTGGCCAAAGTAGTTTTACCTGTCCCTATCAATCCCTGAATTGAAACGACTTGTAGTTGAGTGGAGGAAGAAGTTTGAATGAGCATGCCTTTTATTTTCTCAACATCACCTTCCATTCCTATCATTGTATTCTCAAACTCATGCTCAAAATCATAGTTGGAGGAGGAGACACCATCCCTCACGTTCTCAAGCTGTAAACAAGGTGGTGTTGATGATGAAGAAGAAGAAGAAGAAACATCATGAATTGAGGCTGTATGTCTTGTTTGCAGATCTCTGATGCGAACCTCAACAGACTCAAAATCCTTCACTACTTTTTGCAAGCTCCGATGAAGATCTTCACAAGCTGCAGCCTCACCTTGCTGCTGTTTAGCCGCCAAGTAAACTTCACCCACTTTGGATTCGATTTCATCTTCTGCTTTCATTGCTACATCTCTGATTTCTTCATCCAGCCTTTTCACTGCCTTATCGCGATCGGGAACAGAGGCAATTATGGGCCTAGGTTTGTCAAGATAGGCCTGCAGGGAATGGAGCTTGTCCTTTAAGGTGGATATGATGATTTGAGCATCATCTATCTCAGGAAGAATCAAACAAGGATTTTTATATAGTTGATCTACTATTCCTAGTAGACTACTTACAACAACACAATTCATTGCTGAACTGAATTGCTTTTTCTCAACTACTGATGGATCTATGGGAGAATTTCAAATTGGCTATACTAGTATGTATTTGGTTGGTGTATGGGAGAAGAAGAAGTATGTGGTTGGTGTTATTGTTAGTTCAAACAATAATAAAAACAAGAGATAATAAGGGTTCATTTCTCCAAGCATATTTTATTAATGTTTCTCCAATTAAATTATTAGTCTAAAAATTATAGCAAAATATAAATAGAAAATGCCAACTACCATATTATTACTTGTTATTATAATATCTAAGACAGTGAAAGAAATATTAGAAAATGACCTAGCTAGGTTGCTAAAGACATTTTTTTTTTTTTTTTTTTTTTTTTGAATTGATCTGATGGAGGGGTAACTCGGTACAAAGAGCTATATGCTTCTCATTATAATAAGGGTTCATTTCTCTAAGCATGACTAATTGATTGTTTAATTAAATGACTCATCAATTGGATAGCCACTAAATTACACAAAATGACAAAATATATAAGTATTAAAAAAAAAAACTCAATCTGTTCCAATTTTTAATGGGCTGCCAGACTTCCCAAGGTAGTATATAATTAGCCATTTTCCTCACTGTCCCTCATATTAAATTTATTAAAAAGTATTATTGATCTTGGCATTGTGTATTGCTCACAAATGCCCTTAGATTTGAGGAATTTTTTAAATGGGCCGGAAATTTTCTCAACTTTTAATGTTTTTCCCATAATACTCAATCTAATTGTCTTTACCTTTATATTTAACTGACTCTCAACATTAAATATGAATGTCTCTAGGACATCCACATACTGAGATCTTTCATGGAGTAAATAGAGATAACAATACCCAGAATGATCATCAATAAAAGTAATAAAGTATTTATCACTGCTCCTAGATGGAACATCAAAAGAGAGGACCACAGATATCTGTATGTATTAAATCAAGTAATCCTGAGCTTCTTGTGGCTGAGTGTATTGATACATGTCTGACTTGCTTTTACCTTTATGCAATCGACACATGCATCATTCCAGTCAGTAAAATCCAATTGAGACAAAATTTCAACCTTAATAAGTCTCAATATCTTTTCTTTGGATATATGTCTAAGCCTTTTATTTCACAAGTCAGTTGAAGATTCATTTGGTGCACTCCATTTAACACAAACATCACTCATAACATTAAATAAGGAATTAACAAAGTCAGCATTAAGATTGAAACAGTACAATGTATCGAACAAAACACCAAAACCATAAAAGGTTTTGATTGATACGAACATTTGTCTCCAATCTTAAAGCAAAAACCCAATATGTCCAACCCAGCTGCTGCAAGGTTTCTAGAACATTTTGGAACATACATATAATTCTCAAGATCAAGGCAAAAGCTTGTATCCAGCTTAATTCTTTAAGTTCCAATACCTTCAATTCTAGTTTTCATCTTGTTTCTCATGAAAAGAAACTTTTCATTTTCCCTTTTGAGGTTTGAACATCATAAAACCTTGCATAATGTTAGAAATATGTGTTGTAGCACTAGTGTCTAACCATCAATTAATAGAGAGAACCTCAATAAGATTGGATTCAAAGCATACTGAAACTGAATGCATACTTTTCTTTTCCATCCAAGTTATCCTCTTTAGGCATTCAGCCTTCTTGTGCTCAAGTTTGTTACAGAAATAGCATTTATGCACTTTCTGAACAGCACTTTGCACCTTCATAGGATACTTTCCCTTCTTTTACCTTTAGACTTACTATCATCATCACTGACATCAAAACTGTCACCGTTATAGCGTGATACAACAGTGTTTACTACAAAAATTTATCTCACATATCAATTGCTTTGAGTAACAAACCTTTATTTAAACTATAATTTGTAGACCTTAAGTTTGCATTTAAATCCGCCTTTGGGTCAAATTTAAATACAATGTCAATTTACCGACATGCATCATTCACACATACTTGAATGAGACTATTCATCAAGTCTCAATTTAATATATAGGCTATCTTTGGATATACACTACATATTAACAAAATAAGAATCATAATCTCCTAAATTGTCATTAATCACATGTCTGATCTACCTTTGGGCAACCGCTATAACCATGTGTTAATGATCACAAATGTTTATCAATCCTTTAGTGTCATTCAATGATTCAAAATACATGTGTACGATAAACATTTGTAAATATAAATAATTATTTAGCTATTTCCTTGAGTGGGCCACTTCGGTGACTAACGCACTCGCCTTATGCTAATAATTTATTTATGTGAATAAACCTTAATTTATGTTGTAACATAAACATAAATGATTATTTAGATATTACCATGAGTGGGCCGCTTTGGCGACTAACACACTCGTCTTATGCTAATAACTCATTTATGTAAGTAAACCTTAATTTATGTTGTAACATAAACATAAATAATTATTTAGCTATTACCATGAGTGGGCCGCTTTGGCGACTAACACACTCGCCTTATGCTAATAAATCATTTATGTAAGTAAATATTAATTTATATATGTGTTGTAAACATAAACATAAATGATTATTTAGCTATTACCATGAGTGGGCCGCTTTGGCGACTAACACACTCGCTTTATGCTAAC